CTCTCTCTCTCTCTCTCTCTCTCTCTCTCTCTCTCTCTCTGACCTTTGAATGATTAATCAAATATGCAGCATTTGCATGCAGTCACTGACTCTAACAGCAGTCTAACATAATTCTTGTGCTGCATTTCAGCTTGCCAAATCTGACTGGGAATCTAATACATCATGCATGTTCAGCTGCACAGGATAATGCTCTAAAATGCAATGTGAGACAATATGAGTTTGTTGCATTTGTCATTGAAATGTAAGGAAAAAAATACTATTTTGTTTCATTAGAAAAGGAAGTCTTTAAACACACACACACACATCATAAATGTGGATAACAAAGCAGATTTAAAGTACATGAAATACGCACAGTGGATGATTTCTAAATGGAAAAATAGAAAGAAGGAAAGGGCTCTGGTCATTTGAAATCCTTTCCCAAGTCTTAATCTGTTGATCTTGCTGGTCCAACTCATTCATATGTACAGTAGACTAGTGTCCCCAAACCCAGTGGTCCTTGGGTGTTTTAGAGTACATTCCCCACAATCTCCAGCCCCATATCCCTTGGCCAGGCTATGGGTGATGGTAGATGCAGTCCAACATATTGGAGACCAGGTTGTGAAAGGCTGATTTAGGTCAAATTCCAAGGCAGAGGAATACGGTGAATGTGCAACCAGTTTACAAGTCCCTAAACATCTTGTGAGTCATGTGTGGAGCTTCAGGGCTGTGCCCAGTGCTGCCATGGTACAAGTAGGATGAACACTAGCAAAGCCAGGAGCTAGCCCTTGTTGTGGCAACTAGAAATTAGCTCAGAATCAGCACTTCCAGAATGGGCCCAGTCAGCAGAAGGGAACTGTCTTGTGGGAAATTCACAGAAACTGTGGGGAACGAGGCTGCTAGATGATGATGATGATGATGATGATGATGATGATGATGATGATGATGATTTTAATTACATTTCTGCAGATTGACTGCAGCATACCAGAGATGGTGCATATGATAGCTATTCTCAAACAGCCTCCCAGATTTTTTGGGTCCGATTCAAAGTGTGGGTTCTTTCCTTTAAACTTGGATGGGGAACTTTTTGTTTTCTGTCAAAGGCCATATTCCCTTGGGGTGATCTGCTGGGGGCCACATAATGCACAAGAGTGAGGTCACTTCCAAAATGACCCCCCACACAAACTTTTCTACCCAAGAAACTCCAGAGAAGGAACAGATCATTCCTTTCAATGGTTTGAACTGATCACTTGCAGAAGGCTTCTGAAATCGGAGGAAGGACCTCAGGTCATCTACCCCCTTTTTTATGTCTAGGGTACCTGGAGGGCCACCTTCTGCAATACTTCCCTCCCTGCTCTTTATTACATTCTCTTGGTATTTATGTTCACCTAGGATAGGACCTTTTTCTCAGCTGTATTAAAGCTTTGGTCCTTGTTGCAAGCCTTCAGATGCCAAGTAGTAACAGTTTTATTTCCGAAGGCATTTGGACACCTCTGGGCTGCTGTTTTCAGATACATGTTTTATTTCAATCCGTTGAAAAAACCTGCAGCACAATTTCAGTAGTCCGTGGCATTCTTGACACTGATTCATATACATTTCTCCCCATAGGGTGATAGTTGGACCTTTCCTTGCAATTGGTAAGCAATGTCACAATAATCCCATTAGCAAAGATCAACTCAGATAAGGTTTGCTAGGCAAGCAGTATTGATGCAGCCTTACACAATGATTCCACACACACACATGCACTCTGCACAGATATTTGCCTTAAAGTCACCTAAAACAGAACAGTGATTGCATGTCTCAAGCCAGCCTTCACCACTCTGGGGCCCTTCAGATGGTTTAGCCTTCAGCTCTGTTCAGCACTGGCCCGTGGTCAGGAATTAAGGAAGATGTCATCCAAAACGTCTGCGACGCGGGGAGAAGGCTGGCTTATGTATGAAAGGGCTAATAGCCAAGGGTTGCTTTGCACCATTCATGGGCATTGTTGCATCTCCTACAAAAAATGCCTGAATTTTATAGATTGATAGAACATTCCTATACACAGATGATTTCGCCATACTCCCCCACCCCCATGGAAACAGAAATTAATCCAAGTCCCATCACTGCAATAGAAATTACTGCTCTTCTTAGGACTGGGTTGTTTGCCTTAGGAAGTATTGACACCTATCTCATGGATATAGAAACATAGAAACAGAGCGAGTCAGAAGGGGCTGTATGGTATGGTATGCATGAAACCATTCCTCACTTTGTCCAGCACAGTTTGTCTAATAGTTCTTGCATAGTCATTTTGTCCCATTCCTCGGCATGTGGCGCCTTCCATGGAGCCTCTTTGGGAATCTAAGAGAGAAAAGACATCACAGCTCAAGAAAGAAACCACAGACATCTGGAAATCAAGAGAACTGTATTTTCTACATTTGTAGAAATCGACCACTCTTGCCATTGGGCCCACTGTTTTTCCACATTAACAGCATACTTTATTATTACACAGATCCAGTTAGGACTTTACCAATTTAAATTCTATAGAAAGTAAGCAAAAGCATTTTTTAATCCAGGACACAAATGAGCTTTTTTTTCCCTTAAAGGGTTCTCTACTTTGCCATTTATTACAATATAATCAACCCCTCTACGCTCCAGATTGTATCAGTGGTGTTCAATGCATCAGATTATTCCCATGGAAAACCTTTAGCTTGTTTGAAATCTGTTAAATTCTGCACCATGTTATTGAGTTTCTATCAAAAAATGAGTCTTCTCTTAAGCTTGCCATCCTTTACACCAGAGCTTTTGACGCAGGAGCTGAATTCAATTTCAGGTGAACTCATGGGAGCTGCCTTCCATGGGTGAGAGGCAAAAAGCCTTAGGAGAAGCACTCCTATTTTCTGGACTGGGTGAAAGAGGACCAATGCACAGCCAGGGAAAGGGGCATGGCATTCTGGGTAACACTTGAGGGCCAGGTTGAGTCCCCACAGTAGCTGTATTTGGCCCACAAGCCTCTGTGCAGGTTCTCCAGTCTGGCACAGACATTCACTTGGGAACGATTCCTACAGAATTCAATGAGACAGTTTGGAACCAAATGCAGTGCCAAAGAATAGCTTAGGGTTACCTGAATGAGTCTCAGTTTTATGTACTTCCTCCAGGTCAGAAACACAGTGGAAATCAGAAACATTTGGTTCTATTTTCAGTTACCTGTGGCATGCTGTTACACTCACAGTGGGACAGATTGTGCTTCCTCTTTCCTTACAGACACATTGGAGCATGAGGCTTCTGCATGTGACATTAAACTCTGGGGAACCTTTTCCTGCTGAGGTGGCCAGAACCCGAAATATGTGTGGAGTTGATACAGTGCCTTAAGGTCTTCACAGGGTTTCACCTAGCCGAAGGCTTCCTATCCTTGTTTTAGAATAGGAGCAGGCAACTTGTGGCTCTCTCAATGTGTTGGCCAACAGCCACCCCAGGCATCGCAGCCAGTGGTTAATACTGATCCTATGGATGGAAGGTCCTGCATTCTGGGGCAGGGTGGAGGGCATCTGGGCACAGGTTTGCCCAGTGGAATTGAATCTCCAGTCATGCAACTAGTGTTTTGTCTACTATCTAAGTGAACAACTGTAGCTCCCTAATTAAGACAGGACATACCTCCTTCCCCATTTCATCCATTGTCCTCCACAGATTGTTGTAATCCAAATAGGCAATGGGATTCCACATAGGAGGGAAAGGGCCTTTGAAGGGATAAGATTTGCCCTGCAAAACAGAAGGAAGAGCTTTCAGATCTGAATTTTACACTGAATTACATTGACTGACAATGTCCCATAACAATGTCCCATCCCATATAATCCACTCAGAGAGCTTATTGGGTGGTATAGAAATTAATAACTACAACTAGAACAACAATAAAAGGTATATGGATGGATGGAAGATGATGGAAGCTGCAACACTAGCAGCTGTAAGAGAAGGAGGAAGAGGATGGGGCAAGATCCATTACTCTTCATCTGTCCTATTTCCACATCATAGGGACCATCTTTGGATGATCTGTTGATCAAAGTTATATTATGCTAGCTCCAAAATAAACTGAGCCATTTACCAAAACATTTATTTCTAAGCCAATCCAAATTTGGATTCGCCCATGAGTCTCCAACCTAATAGAAGCACCTGCAACATGTTTACCTCGGTGAGCTTTGCCTGAATCTGATCATTCATTTATAACAGGTGAAGGTAACTAGGTATCCTACCACTTCTATCTGTTTTGTCTAGTATGGCTAATAAGCAAGGATTGAGGGAACTGTACTCTGAAATATCCCTAGTTTAGAATATTTCAGAAATGCAGATCAAGGACATAGCATCAAAAATAGACATGATAGCTATAATCCATATAAAAGGCTTCAGACTGGGTTACTGTCCTTGTTTCCATCAATAAAGCTAAACTGCTTCCATTTGGGACTTAACTAGATTGTGCATTGGGCTGCTTGTGTGTAATAATAAATTTTTAATAAGTAGTTGATAAAGTATCTGGTTAAATGGACAAATTAATTCAAATGATCTACATCATAAGCATGATAATCTGATTTAAAACATTAATAAATTGATTGCAATGTGAATCACTTGATAGGAGAGCTTTTATATGTCAGGGTTATGTCCCATTTTATTTTATTTAGTATCCCTGAGAATAATCCTTGATGCAAGGTAGGCAGCATATTTATTTAAAATGTGCAGCTGTTTCAAAATAGCTGTGAGGCCAATGGAATATAAATACAAAGCACCCAGGGAGACTACAAAGATCTTCTCTACATAGGACATGAAAAGTAGGTTTTAAAATTGCAAGTTAATAAAATCAGAAGAGACTGAGTTCAAAGGAAAAAAACAGTTTTAGAAAGAAGTAAATCAAAAACCAAAACCACTCAGCAGAGTAATAATACACTGCACCTGCCTGCAGTATGACACAGATGTGTTGGAATAAAGTTTACTGCTCTGTTGAGAAGGATAATTCTTGGACCACTGTACAATAATCCTATCATGTCTGATAATGAATCCCCCACCCCACAACTGACCTTGTGGGTGAAAAATAAAGAGCTAGATGGGAGATAATCCTGCTGATTCTCTTGGGCTCCAGTCACTTTCAGCACTATTGATTATATTACCTGGCCACTGAGAGTGGCACAGTTCTGCCACTGCGTGGAGGAAAGTCCCAGATAGTGGCATATGGCGGGGTGGGGATTGCTTTACCCCAAGATCTTTGTTCTTCATGTTTCTGCAAGGTTCTGACTTTTCCCCATACTTTTCAACCATCTGCATGACGTGTCTGAGGTGGGGCTGTGCAAAGATTTGAAAGACCTTCTGAGTGGGTGTTCGGAGGCAGTGAGAAGTTCTAGGGTTGCAGCACTCAACCACATTTAGATTCCTTTGAAAGGTGATCACTGGAGGTTTATCCCATTTTGTAGTATTCAAATGTTCTAATAGCTCTACAGGTTGAACACAGATAGAAGCACTGCTTAAACACTCCAACAGAAAGTCTGATCTACTGTTCCAACTCCCTGGTCTGCTTATTTACAGAGCTCCCCAAAACTCAGCTTGCTGTGCCTCTTCTCTCTTCCCTTTCACAGGCATCTACATCATTCCTAACTAGAGAGGGGCAGAGAGGTCTACTTTTCCCCGACAGTTAAGGATGACTTAAGGAAAACATTTTAACAATTAGCTTTCATCTCTTTAATATATTGGGCTAATAAAATTGGGCTAATAATCCCAATTATCCCGATTGTTATTGGACTAATAATCCTTGGATAAATGTCTTTGGCCTGGTATTAACTTCAGACAAGCCACAGTGATAGCCTAATCAAAGAAATGTGACAGAAAACCCATAACTATGTAGTTAAGAGAGACATAGGTAGATAAACTTTATTACTGTCAAAGATCAGTTCAGTTTGAATAAATAGAATTTAACAGGGAAAGAAAACACATTAAAAATTAACTGTCATAAAACCCCAGTCAGATTAGTAACACTTCGACACAATGTACTACTACTCTAATTCATATCCGTCATCTGGAGTAAGCGGCATTACTAGACTGTCTTTCATCCAGCTAAGTAGAACCACACTCCCTCAGGTTCCTTCTTCAGACACCCATCGCAGCTCCGAAGAATTTAGCAACACTGTTCGTTAGCCTCAGATTAGTGTCAGACAGCATAATATAGACATTTCTATGCATAACTATACATAGATTCATCATTTATAGTTAAATATATGAACTGCCAAACTGAAAATTATTGCAAAGCAAAGCAATATTGTAGTTTTGCTGCAGTATTTGATAAGATTTCAGAGCAACAACCGTGTGCTATGGCAGGCACAGGGATCCCACAAAAAGCAGCTTCCCCAAATCATGTTCTTCTGTCTTTCCCTTCTCTTATGTTACCACCATCATGGCATTTCCCCCATCTGCTCCCGTATCTGTCTGCTGGTGGCCGAGGGGAATGTAAAATAGGTCTAAATTATGGAAAGCAAGTATGTGCAGTTTTGTTTCCTTTTTGCATTATCCCAGTCTTAAGTTCAGCTTGTTTCAAATCCAGATTATGTGTGTGTGGCAGTTCTATCTGCATGATATGTGTATACTTTTTGTGAAAATTAAAATACTATGTGAATTCTAATACACTTTTTTTGCTTAAGACACACATTTTTGCAAGATATTTTCTTAATCTCGTATAATGCATCTTTGAACAGTATTTTCACTAACACATGCTTTTTATGTACACATTTCACTAAGAGGCACATTATTGTGTGCACTTTTTAATTGGAGGATTGCATTGCAAAGTTTATAGAAATGCAGATTTTGAAGGAAAAATGAGATTTGGTTCATGTATTGGTTTAAAAATGTGAAATTAGGTAAGTTTACATTAGTGTCACCATAGCCCCCTTAGCATAATTATTATTTTTATCATACAGTATACACTTCTGGTCAGACAGTATTTTGTCACATTGTTAATGGGAAGAATATCACCTATTAAATGAATTAAAGAAGCACTTCAGTTTAGAGTTTTTAATTAACTTTGAAGCACACTGGTAAAGTCGCAAGATGTTTTACATGTTTCATAGTAAAGAATTCAGAGATACTTGAAAGTGAGTCCTTGGCCTAATGTTACAGTCAGAAAGTGTCCGAACATTTCAGTTCTGGGTCATCAGAGCAGCATGCAAATCATTTGAGGGTCAAAATAGACATCATGACTATTCTGGGCATAATGCTCAAGCATATAAACATTCTACATACATCCCATTACATTTAAATATATATGTGTTGTTGGCCTATTCATGTGTACCATTACCATATGGGCACATGTTGATATGGTACTGCTGAAACTCATGTGGTAAATGTTCTCAGGTGTCATAGGTAGAGCACCTAACTCTAACTCTAAACATCCTTTTCTACATTAACTTTGCTTGACAGCTGCTTTGTTTATTACATGCTACAAGGGATACTTACCTTTTACCATCCAGCCTACCATAACCGAACCTATATTGAATTGCACTGCCGCAGGAAGGCTGTGAAACTGTTTGGTTGACTATGCAATCATTCTAGCTGCACTGAAAGCAAATCTGACCAGAAAGGTCAGGGTTTCAAAGCTCACCTGCAGGTTCTAGTAAGATAAGTGGCTTTGTAAGTCATAAGAAGTAAGGGAGGAATAGGTGAATCATTGCTCTGATCTAGCATGGCTCTTCTGATGTTAAGGGACACAAAGCCTAGAGGGCAACTGGCTAAGGGAATATGCAGTGCAGGAAATGGGCTTAGCATTAAAAACAGGGAGCTGAAAGGACCATGGGTGAAGGCAGAAGAGGTGTTGCTTGAAGAACAGGGCAATGAGGTGATAGGGGACAGCTGAGCGATGAGGTCTGAAGAAACCTCACAGCACTTGAGGTCAGCAAGGTGTGTTCCAGGGAGTAGTACTGTTCTGGGACTAGCTTGCCCTCCACCCACACCTTCTGGATGGTGACAGGAGAAGCAGCCCTGCCTCCTGACACCACTCCCTGCTTCATTTCTTTCATGATGGAAGGAGCACAAAACTCTTCCTCTGTGAAGCACAAGAAAAGTGCTGACTGCCCTACATGAAGGAGGGCAGGACTTTCCCACGTGGGGAAGACCAGCTGTTCTCACAGTGTGGGCAAGCAAGGTGCAGGCTACCAGGTATCCTCACTGCTTTCTGAGATGTGCAACTGGAGCAGCAGTGGGGGATAAGCTGCAAACATGATCCAGTAAAGGAATATCTGCTTTTATCCCTGATGTCAGATCAGGGGAATCGGTGGGAATGCCCTCTGAGGAGATACTTCCAGGAGGTGGGGCTTGGAGTCTAAGCTCCACCTCCTAGAGGAACCCCAAGAGGCTGGCCACCTGGTTTGGGGTGCCCCAAACATCTCTTGCTTACATTATTCAACAGAGGTACATGGGGATGCTGTAAAGGATAGCACACAAAATCGTTTAAAGAAATAAAGCAATGCAAGGTAAAAACAGTGACACTGAACAGTAGAGACACTGCGCTGAAGAAAGGTGGAGACATGGAGAAAATAGCATAAGGCAAACCCTCACATGGCAGAATTGTATATTATTGGCAAGATGGAAGTGAACAAGCAAGTGAAATTTGGATGGAAACTGGGCCAGATAGCCAAGGAGCATAGAGCCAGTTGATAAAGAGCAGTAGACACTGAAAACACAGAAGAGGACACTTGTCATTTGCATTCTAAGAAAGGAATATACCTAGTATTCCCTACGGAAAACCTAAGGGGGAAACAAGGGCTAAGAAACAGAGTATTTTCAGGTGGCAGGAGGGTGGATACCACGTTTCGCAGTTTGAAACATATTTATGCCCCCACCCCCAGTTTTGAAGGCTGCTAGATCTTCTTTAGGACACCAGAATGAGGTTTAATATCCTGTATGAACTGTCAATGTTCAGTCACAGATCAATATATACAACGCAAAAATCAGTGAGAGAGCAGTTCCAATGAGAGTCCAGCTACCCTACTGCAGACAGCATTTTCAATATCTGGAAAGCCTGAAGGTTTTTAAACCATTTGTCCTCTGTGATGATCACTATCTGCCATTATTGCCACTGTAACAATTAGTGAGACACTGACAAATTCAGATAATATAAGGAATAATATTTCTGCCCTGGCCTGACATACAGGTAAAATGGCTCAAGCAGTCATCATTAACCTTTCCCTATTCAAGACAAGCAATCAATGTCTGGTTATATTAAATAATTTAGGTCAATATCCTGGGTTTGCCTTAGAGCCATAATTAGGAAAGCTCTCTAAGCATTAAAATTTCCCTGGACAACTAGGTCTGCCAGTGAGTTTTCATCTAAGAAAAACCTAATTAGGTTTCCTTCCAAAATCTGTTCAAATACATCTGAGTCATGGATAGGAAACTGCACTTTGAAGAACCAAGACAAAAATTACCCTTACAATGAATAACACATCCTTTTAGTAATTACTACAAATACCTTATTTGGAGGAAATCAGTATCAGTCAATTTCCTGAATTTTGTTAAAAGCAACACACACACACACACCAAACTAGGAAACATTATTTCTTCATTTGCTTAATTCTGTGCCTTGTATATACAAAGGGTCAACTTCCAATACAGAATTACTGCAATGCATCTTGTTTTTAAATCCCATTGCAGTCTTTCAAATGATTTTGATTTCACAGTCAAATTGGATCACTTGATCATCTTCCAATAAGCCAGTGGAAATGGCTTAATCAAACAGCAACTAGAGATATATGGTAGCATAATGGTTTACAGAAATGGACTGGGGTTCTGCCAATTTTGGACTGGACAATTTGTCCATTTTGGCTTTTGGAAATTATGCCAAGTGAAGGAAATCCCTCACACCTATTAATCTCCAAAATGGTTCCATATCTAATTTATAAACCTGAAAGCTTAAATTACAACAATTCAAAAAATATAACAGAATGTAAGAATATCCACCCTCCTCCATATCCAACTCCTCCTGACTTCAGAAATGTGTCTGTTCTTACATTAACGTGATGAATAAGATGCTCAACTTCATTCACTTTGTATGTGTCTAATCCAAGCTCCTTGGACAGCCGTAAAATACGATTTTGTGTTGGCCCCACATAGGCTCCTCCCAGGTCGACGTATTTCACCTGCTTATTCTGGTAGAGAAGGAAGAAAAAGCATATGCTTCTGGCAAATAAAGGTGGGATTAAATTTGAGATTCACAATTTCTGGATCAAATATCAAGTTTTGTATTGTGGGTGAGCAAGTTAATATGCGATTTTATTCTGGATTAGCTGAGATATTGGGGTCTGTTACACTTTGTTCTGCTGCAGAAATAAATGTTTGAATCACATTTAAGCAGCATGTACATATACATGCATGCACATGCACACACCATAGATACATACAAGTACATTCATGGGCGTGCTAGGAATAAGGGCAAGCATGAAGGTACATGATGCAAATCTTGCTGAAGTCAATCAAGTGTGGGCCTGGCTTGCATTTGGAAGGAAACCCTATGTACTAAGCTTTCATGATGACTCAATACTGCAAATAGTTTATATGTAAATAAAACAAGCTAACTTACCCTTACAGTAAATGTCCTTCCTCCAACCCTGTCACGAGCTTCCAAGACCACAACATTCAATCCCGAATCGAACAGCAACTTGGCTGCTGATAGACCTGAAGAATAAACAAAAAAGATAAATTAAACTTTCCCCACAATCCAAGGCATTTCAAAGCTGCTTGAAAAGAGTTTGGATGGATGGAAGGAAGGAAGGAAGGATTTGTTTGTGTTTAATAAAAAAAAGGAGTAACCTTACCAAGCACTTACTAAATCACAAAGGGCTGCAGCTGATTACATTGCAAACATAGTTCATAATTCTGCATACCTTGGCTCTGCTCAATCACCAATTGAAACGGAAACTACAGCCAAGAAATTAGAAGCCTGAGACTTGGAAAGGCAGCAATGTAGAAACTAAGAAAAGATCAACAAGTAAAAGGACATTTCAGTGGAAAACAAGCTAAGATCATTCATACGACTGTGTTCTTGATCACTGTATATGGGTATGAAAACTGAACAGAGAAGAAAGGAGACAGGAAGAAAATTGATGCCTTCAAAACATGGTGCTGGCGGAGAGCTTTGTGAATACCCTGTATTGACAGAAAAAACAACAAGTGCATCTTAGATCAAATCAAGCCAGTACTTTCCCTGGAAGAAAAGTGATTAAACTGAAGTCATCATACGTCAGACACATCATAAGAAGGCAAGACTTACTGGAAAACATAGTTCTTACTGAAGAACAGGGAATGATGGAGGCAGAAGAAGAAGAGGAAGGCCAAATATGAGATGGACTGAATTCATGAAGGAAACCAAAGCCTTGCATTTACAAGAGCTGAGCAGGGCTATGAAGCACTGTACATTCTGGAGGGCATTCATTCACAGGATTGTCCTAAGTCAGGGACAACATGACAGTACATAACAACAATCATTCAGAAACATTTCAGGCAGATTAAAAAAGGTGTTTGTATTTATGTGGAATTTATCCTTTCATAATGAACACATGTATACATGGGGTTCTTATAACAAATTTGAGAAAGAAACTCATCAAAAATTTCAGATATTTAAGCCACCCTAACACTGAAGTTAAAATGGCTGAATTGGCTGGATCGTGCAATGTCTCCTAGCCAAAATTGTCATTTTGAAAACTATATTGCAATAAATGGATATTGTTAATTGTTTCACACATGGTGTCCACTTGAAGACATACCATATAAAACTTCAACCATATGGAGTACTAGTTGTTTTTGGGATCCCTCAATGTAATAAAGTAAAATTGGCACGTCCCTACTTTGCCACAGGAGTCTATACAATTCTTACATAGGAGAAAACATAGTGACAACAAATACTAGCAACACCCATTTCACCAAAAGGTGTAAGATTTAAGACAGAATTTTTATGGTTAATGTTTTGCAATAAACAGAATTTGTCTCAACCTCAAAGCTTGAAAGGTAAAAAATAAGTTATTAACATTTAATAACAATTATTACTGAAAAAACAAATAAAGCATTCTATACATTAAAAATTAGCTGTAACGTATCACTGCATATTCTCTGATTTGCCTTGAATTTTGGTAAGTTTTAACTACATGTTAACAAATGTTGATTCATTTCATTTTCTGGAATTATGGCAAAGGCAGCTGGACGATAACTTGACAATAGTTCTCTCTTTGCAGGAAATCAGCTTCTCTACAAATCAATTGAAGAAGAAAATTGTAAGAACTGAGAAAAGAGACAATTGCATTTATGCAATTTTAGCTTTGTAACAGGTGAGCTGTAAATAAAATGGCAGACCTGAAAAATATTTTTTAACATTAAGGACCATAGCAAGCATTATCTGCCAGAAACTGTATATTCCAGTTCTTTTGGAAATTCCTGTCTTAAACACCATTGCTAGTAGAATCTAGGACGTTGAAATATTCTCTAAACTATAGGAATATAATTGGATTCAATGGCAATGTACTAGTCAGACCTAATTGGAGTAATGTGTTCTGTTTTGGAAGCCACGCTTTTGAAAGGATATAGACAACTGGAACAGGTTCAAAAGACTGCAAGAAAGAATGGAAGTGTCATGGCAAAAAATTCTATGAGGAAAGGCTGAAAAAGGGCATGTGGGAATGGAATGGAAACAGAAGACAATTGTATTTCAGGGAGACAGCTGACATGATGCAAAAACTGTTCTTCATCTTTTAGTAAAGATCTTATGACTTTTATCAAATGTATATGCTCCCTGGAAGAATGTGTTATTTTAGAGGAAGAAAGGATCTGTTATCTTAGAACGTAGGAGGATCCCTAAGAAGTTGATCACTGTCTCTTTGCTTTGACATACTTTAAGGAAGACACAGAACAGTATCTCTGCCATCAGACTGATAAATTGACCATCCAAAGAGGTGTCTTTAATTATGGTATAAACTTAGCCTTCAGAGGTTGTAAGTATAGAAGTGCTGAGAGTGCCAAAGGAGATGAACCAAGCAGGTCTGTGTGCTGGCCTTCCTCTGGGGTCCCTCCACTGCTGATCTCCTGGGGTCCCAGTGACGGAAAGGAGAATTGAACAGCTCTCCTTGGCGATGTTGTACGCTACGCTTTATCCTTTTCACCTGCTTACAACTAATAGCATAATATGTTGTGCTATTTAACTTTGTTAATAAACCAGTTAACCTTCATCCACTGGAATGCTTATCGCTTCTGGATCCAAATGAAAGAACAGTTTGCCTCCTGACAAGTCAGTGTTCCGGAATACCAGAAGGGTTGTCATATAGAATGACTTCTATATTTTTTTTCTACCCAAGGACAGAACTAAATTGAATAGATTTAAGTAACAGGATTGTTGATTTCAGATGAAGTTTAGGAGAAGCTCCTTAAAGCTAAGAGAACTTTAACAATATACCAATCACTTATGGGATAGGATGTGATTTGTTGGAGGTCTTTAGACAGAAGCTGGACAACCATCAAGCCCTAGATGGTCTGGGTCACAAGCAGTTGGGTGGACTGACCTAGAAGTCAGAGTCTACATTTTTAATAGCAAAAATGACTTATTTTGAAATTTAAGTATTCAAGTAGTGATCTGGTAGCTCTCGGTTGCATAAAGTTAGATGTTAATATTTCAACTCCTGCTGTCAGTATTGAAAGGCAAAGTTCAAGGAACATGCCTACTGGCTAGTCTAAATTGCTCTTGGTCACTGAGGAACTGACATGGTTTAGACCAGGGACGGGAAGAAAGTTGATCTCTAGATATTTTGGATTTCAACTCCCAACCTTGTTAGCCATATTGTCAAGGTCTTTTGGTAGTTGATGTACAAAACATCTGGAGCCTACCTTCTGCCTGCTGATGTTTTAGAGAGCATCAGACTGAACTGACACTCTCTCATTTTGACTGCCTGCAGAAGTAACCAGTGTGAACATTAGCATACAGACCTGACATTCGTGGATTAAATTATACTGGTACTCAAACTAGCTAAGGCACTCCAAGCCATCAGACTGAGTCTTTGCCCTTCTACTTTCAAAGCAGGTGTTCTACTATGATCACTCTGCAACACAGTTACTAACAAACACTATAGGGCCAAAATTGCATGTTTTCATTGATTTGAATGGAGAATAGATACAACCATGTACTTATCTTTCTCAGTGAAAGCAATGAAACTTGGAGGTGTTTAGCACTGTCTAGACTATTTCCCACTCATATTGTTTGCTATAAACATATGGCTAATGGCCCTTTAATTTAGATTTATTATAAGAAATAAATTCTAATGAACTTGGAATTTGTGCCCAGAGAGATTTTTAAATATTCATTTGTAAAAATATATTCATCTTGCTAAAAATAAATGGTTTAAGCTTCACCTATAGAAGGAGAAAAATAGAATTATAACTCTGAAACTGACATCAAATGCTATTTTATATAAAAACTGCTTCTTGTATCAGAATCAGATATTTCTGACTCTATAGCCAGGATCAGAACCATGACTTGAACTATGTTTGCAAATCATGGCTTCTGCTAACCATACTTTGGTGTAATGTCTGACCTGACCTGTCCTCATTAACGTCATCATTCTGGCTTGACGGAATTTTGCACTTGAACATGGAAATAAGAAGCAGATTAAACAAAGCAGGCAACAGCTCCAAATCCACCTTTGGCTGATGCTTTGGAATCATAAATTCAATTCTAAACTGTGGCTAGGTAACACCATGGTTTGTCATTATGTCTGAATTCAACCACTGAGTTACCTGTGGGAACTCAATATCATTAACCCTGGATTTCTCTAAGAGATTCATAGTAGCAAAATTAATACACACTACAAAGAGTTGACACGGATAGATCTTATTTGTACAAAGGGCACAGTGATGCTTCACTGGAGACTAAGCAAGGCAAATCCAGCAAGCCTTCATGAGTATCTATGGCAACCTGCTGTCAAACAACATCCTGTGGAAGATGCTGCATCTGAGGAGACTGGCTTCCGAGGGCTTTTACAATGCAACTTTAATTTGCAGAAATTGCTCCCCTATCACAGAGTAATCTGTATTCAAATATTGTGTGACTGAAATGTCAGCAGCCATGGCAATTATTTCATTTCTGATTTTAGCCTTGCATTTCTGGTAGTTCATCTTTTCACAGTCATAGACCAGACTTTAAATTCTGTCATTTCACTGCTAAAAAGTCACACTAGTAAAATAAGGCAGAAGCTTAACTGGTTGTACTGTAACTGTACAATGAGTTTACACAATGTGTTCAGAGATCCATCTTTTAAACCGCCATCAACTTTCTGAATATATATTGTATGATTCCAGGCCATGCTATAATTTAAATGGCATTTCATAGCTAAGTGCTCTTAAAAGTACAAAAAAACCTATGGCAGTCCTATAATATTCCCAAGCTATAATTCTCCCAAGAAAATCTCTAAGACTTAAAAAAAAACCCCACAGTTATATTAACTGAAAAATGTGACACTTATTTACTGATATTATCTAGCTCACGAGCTAGACACCACTAGTGAATCAGAGGTTTCTGGGGAGACACCAATGCTGCCGTCTGGTCCAAAATTCATGGATGAATTTAAGTTATTGTGGCCTGATGATGTGTACAAGGTGCTTGGACGAGTACATCCCACCACCTGCCTATTGGACCCTTG